GTATTAATTTAACACTTTACCGCCGGCTATTTTGGTTGTCATTGTGTTTCTTTTTATCCCCTGTATTATAGCTGATTACTATTACCGTAGCAACTGTAAGTTTCTCCAATTGATGGAAATTAGTATCCAGTATTGTGTATACAGTTAGCTTCTGCAATCTAACCATCATTAATATTGTTTAAGAACTTTAATTAAAAGCTTCAATATAAATGGAAGTAGAATATTGTTATATAGAACGATCTTGACCATTCATAGCCTGAAGAATAGACGTGACTATCAGAATGTGGATAGTTAGCCCCACAAAGTTAAATACAGCCAGTATTCTCGAGGTTTTGACTCCTGCAACTTAAATATGATAACGTTGGAATATGAATTTGTCTTAGTCTTAATGTGAATAGTGTTGTGTTAGTATAGTTATTTTCTGAGAATTACCTATGATTATAACGTTGTATAGTTAGTTGGCTATTGTTAACGAGGTGGTTATCTTCTGTAATTGAAATCTGACTGTTGATGACGAGATAAGGTGGGTGGTTAGTTTTTACAAATGCACGTATCGACGTATGAAAAGTAACGTCTGGAACGGATCTTAATCACCTATTCTAAGTTTGACAAAAACTTAAAACAATGAATGCTTTCCCGACTATAAAAACTATATTACGAGCTTTATTTCCAATTTTAATGAATAATAATTATGTATTTTATTTAAAAAATACTTTAAAAAGCTATAGTAATATTTCTTTTCTTCTCTAAAAACAAATCCACTTGTTATTGCAATAAAGAAGTTTAAGTACTAGTAAACGCCCTCTAGTTTTATATTTTGTTACTTTAACAGAGAAGTATAAGTAGCGGTAGACGCCCTCTAATTTTATATTTTGACTTGGATGTCTCTTTTTCACACTCAGTGACGTAATATCTTCCTCGGAAAGGATTAAAATAATTAAGATGATGGATGCAATGAATCATGCACATAGCCAAAAATATTCTGAAAGTTTTTGCTGCCATCTAGTATGTAAAATGTAAAGTAATTAACAAATATTTTCATGCGTAATAAAAAGAGAATCAAGATGTTTTCAAAAAATATGCTAAAATATTTCTGTTAACCAACTCATTAGATGGTTAACGATTTTTTTAGTTTGTAAGAGGTTTGTTTAAGGGTTTGTCATTTCGTGTGCACTTGTATTTTAATTAGCCCTGTTTAAATTTTTTTCTTTTAAATTTCTTTCTTTCTACTCAGAAAAAAATCTCCCAAAAACTTGCTTGACGAAGTTTCATATTTACTTTTTATTTTATTTTATCGCTTGTGTGTTATTTAATTTTGGATCCGTTTTCTCATTCGTATCTTTTTTCACTTTGTTATTTCTTTAGATAAATTTCACATACAATTTTGTGTTAATATTTTTCCTTTCTTCTAATCTCATATTTTTCATTGTATCTGTTTCTTTGCTAACAACTTTCTCTTCATATCTATTGCTATTACGTTTTTCCTCTGTGTCTTTTCCAGAGCTCCCCACTTTGCTCTTTCTTTATGTTTTATTTATTATCTTAGCTGCTATTTCCTTCTGATTCTGTTCTTTCTTATACTATCTTACGACTTTTATATTTAATCTGTTTTCCTTATTTTCATACTTTATAGTGTAGTTTTCAGTTTTTATTTCGCTAACTATTCACATATTCATTTTCTCAAACTTGTTTACTTTTCTCTCTTTTATTTGTTTATTATTAGGCTATTTCCCTTATAATTCATATTTTCTTAATTTTTTCACATTATTTCCCCTCATTATTTCTGTGTCATATTTTGCGTTATTTTATACATCCAATTAACAGCTGCAGTTTTACTGGTATATCCTCGCTTTTGCGTTTAGTTTTGGTATTCATAACCTGAAAAATCTCAGCCCTATATCACATATATCCGTTTGTTGTTTCACGTTCTATAGAAAATATGCCTAAAAAACTTTAAGCCTGGCATGGCTGCCCCAGCTGACTTGTTAACTTGAAATATTCTGAGTGTTCTTAAATCAATAAGTAAAAAAAAAAAAAAAGGAAAAGCGGAGGCTTAATCGTCTGTATACACATGTTCAATAGCTAACAGATTCTTCAAGGCTATGGAATTTTCAACGAGGTACCTCCCAGCGCTGTTCTTATTTATTAACTTTATTTTGTGAATGTAACATTGATGTATGTATTATGTAAAGTAAAATATACGAACAACATAACTGTGAAAACGTTCTCAAACTGTTAGCTGGAAGAAATCTATAATATGATTTGCTGTTTGCAATGTTGAAATTCATTCCTGCTTTAGCTTTGGTTTATTTTGTAGCATACTAAGTAAGGCAATATTAAAGGCTTTTAAAGGATTTTAATATCAACTCTGTATACTTCAATATTATCCTAGAAAATGGATCAGTTTTGTAATGCTCTTTAATCTCTGATAGAAGGAAATTATTCGAGAAACAATCTTGGAATGCATTTTGATCGCGAGTAGAAAGAATTGATTCGAAAAACAATCTTGTAATACACTTTGATCTACAGAAGAAGAAATTAAAACATGTTTTACTTCATCAGCTCGAACCAGCAGAACGTCCCGTAGTGAAAGTAGCAGCACAGACAGCATATCTCTGGAGGAAAAATCCGATCGAAGTCGTAGAAACAAACACAAGAAAACAGAGATCAGGGAAACAGTCTCTAATGGTTAGGTTTAACCTATTATTCTCCATAAGATATTTTTTTTCTTTTTCCTCATTAGTTTTACTAGATATACCGTTTCTACGTTTTATGACAGTCTGCTACTTCCAACCTTATTGGTATTTTCAGAATCCCTTATGATTTTGTTTTACAGTGTTTTAGCTTTTCTTTAACTGGATTTTACAAAACAAATGTTCTATGAATCGATTGTTTGTGTGTTATTACATCACAATAATACTAATCATAATTTTGAAAACAAAAATCTATTATTTGTTGGCCCCATACGGATTTCTAGTCAGAAGAACATAAAAGCGTCTCGATCACTCCGAAGCGTTTCGCTCAATACCAGAGCTCATCAAGCCGTCTGTATATGAAACATAAAAAAGAATTGGTTATACACAACTAACTTGATGAGTTATTAAATGAAATGCCTCGTCGGCAGCGATGAGCAACACACCAGGTGAGCAGCCGAGATGATATGTTATTTTTACCGGAAGCCTGTAAGGACAGTAAAATTATTTCTACTGGAAGGCTGTATAGGGACAGTAAAGTAAAATTTATTCAAAATTATTATCGGTCGTACTGTGACGTAATCACACAAATAACCGATCTAAAGATCACACTTCGACAACATAACGCCATCACAACAAACGTTATATTTCCTGAAATCCTTAATAACAATGGTATTGCAAGAACTATTTTTTTATTGACTGTGATATCTGTAACTTAAAATACCATTGGATGGTTGTATTGTAAGCACTATTTTTGTATAAACTGTGATATCTGTAACTTAAAATCACATTGGATGAATGTATTGTAAGAACTATTTTTTATGGACTGTGGAATCTGTAAACTTAAAATCACATTGGATGATTGTTCGTTATTTTAAATTTCTTACACACTGTAGGGTCTCAAGCATCGACAAAAACCAACATATCCACGACAAGCGTCAACAATTCTGAAGTCGAAAACCTTAGTGATCCCTGGGAAGTACACTCCCTTAGAAAAGAAGTAGATTTCCTCCGTTCTGAGCTAAGCAAAGCCCGTCAAACCATCGCTGCGCTAGAGGAGCGGGAGAAGACTATGAAGGACAGGTAATTCCAAGTTCTCTAAAACAATGACACCTTGTTGTTCATAAGATATAGGCCAGTATAAAATTATTACATTTTCGACATTGGTCTATAATTATATATTATTTCTAGAGTGTAATTTAGTTTACTCTCGTATCATTATCCTAAAATGTTGGAAGAATAAACCAGTACAATTATGTGATTATATCTCAAAACTTTAAAATGCCCTTTATATGATAGTTACATTGTTTTGTCTTGATATGAACAACTCTAAATGTTATCTATCTTGTGTGAAGTGGACATTGTTTTGTCTAAATATTAAAAACTCTAAATGTTATCTATCTTGTATGAAGTTGACACTGTTCTGTCTTGATATGAACAACTCTAAATGTTATCTATCTTGTATGAAGTGGACATTGTTTTGTTTAGATATTAACAACTTTAAGTGTTATCTATCTTGTATGAAGTTGACACTGTTCTGTCTTGATATGAACAACCCTAAATGTTACCTATCTTGTATAAAGTGGACATTGTTTTGCCTGGATATTAACAACTTGAAGTGTTATCTATCTCGTATGAAGTTGACACTGTTCTGTCTTGATATGAACAACGCTAAGTGTTGTCTATCTTGTATGAAATGGACATTGTTTTGTCTGGATATTAACAACTTTAAGTGTTATCTATATTGTTTGAAGTTGACACTGTTCTGTCTTGATATTAACAACACTAAGTGTTGTCTATATTGTATATAATGTGCACCGTTGTGTCTTGATATGGACAACGCTATGCGTTATCTGCCTTAAAATAAATGTACACTGACTGTTCTATCTTGATATGGAAAGTTATCTACAGTCTGATGACTATTGTGCTTTGATCTGGAAACCCTATCAGTCTCTTAAAAATTTCTAAATGGTGATTATTTCTTGCGTAAAGGCTTAGAGAAAATGTAAACATGCATCTGAAAACAAGATAAATGAACAATTCCCTGTATGTACAACGTAAAAATAGCCACCTATTCTATAAGAAGCTTTTAATGTCCTGCTGTTGCCAAAAAGAGTATGGGATTATTTTTCTTTTTAAATTTAAAGCAGTTAAATTTGTATGATTTTTGAAATATTAAAACATCTTGCGATCAACAATATTCCATATTCAACGAGTTTTATTAGTTTAAGGTACACCTGCTTAACTTTCTTCTAGTGAAACTATTTATGGATCATAACTTTATATTTTACTTGGTATTTCTTCTGAAACAGACTAACAGAGCAAGCCCAGAAACTATTGGATAGAGGTGTCAGGTTTGAAGAAGTATGTCTGAAGGAGAATCGACCTGTGGCCTTAGTTCGTCGTTATGGTAACCTTTATGCTCAAGCTAGAGTGGACACACTTGACGCCTTGGACAGTCTACCGGAGCTGCGAGATGGCGATGAACTGAAGTCGAAGTTGTTATTCTCAGTTGTTGTGGTAAGGGTTTAATCAAAGTTACGGAACATTTTCGATCTTCAAACAGCAAGCAGAACTGAACAGGTTTAGTCTTCTTTGGAATCAAGGTTTGAGTGATCTTTTCTTTCAACAAGACGATTCTTCTCTGTTGTGCATTGCTATTAAGACAACATTAATGTATTACTAAATCTGTTTCCTGATTATTTATCACAATACAATTATTCAAGAAGCTTATTTATTTTGCATTATAAAAACGTTAGGTGAGGGTTATTCAATGAAAAAATTCATTTAGTTCCACCAATTAAGCAAAAACAAATCAACATTCTTGTTACTTCTACCGTACAAATTGGAACGAGCAATGTTTGCTGTAGGTATTTCTTCAAATAAAACTATCATACTAGAGGAAATATTACAGATTTAATTTTATAAATATCAACCTGTGGATGAAAAATGAATTGGAACATTTTTTAATTTCGCTTGATTTTTGTGTTTATTTTGTTTGTTTTTTCGTTACAGCTGTCGTTTCGTTCAGTTCAGAAGACACTGCTGGAAATCAAAGCCAGTATTCGTCATATTCTACAAATTCCAGAACTTCCAAGTCACGATGTAAACAGGGAATCAGGCGATGTAGAATTGAGCATCAACAATTATCTCCGAAGTTCAAGTGACAGGTTTGACTTAAGAAAACATGTCGAGGTATGAATTTTATTTTATCTTATAGCTTTGAAAGCTTCGAGATAAGACGATTGCGTAGAAATTTAAAGAATCTCTCCTGCTGTCAGCAATTAAGTCCAGCAAAAGAAAATATTCACAGTTTCTTGCGCATCAACTGTTACTTACCTACTGGATTTTTCTCTAAAGCATTGTTATAATTTTTATATTATAGTTATAATGTTTTAGCACTGTGCTGAAACTCATGATTACTACAATGAATCTACACTTAAAGTTTTGTTAAGAAACATTTTATCTGAGATTAGGTCAAGAATGAAATTGGGTGAATAGATGATAAATAAAACATTCAGTAAATGTTACCAGGAAGATATCTAATGTAGTTATTATTTTTCATTTATAAAATGAGCTCGCTACTAAATGTAAAGTTATACAGGTGCACCAAAATTATTCATCCAACGAAACTTTGCATAGCTGTACTCAACGATATTGAGATTCTCATCGCCAGGTGGCACGTCAGTCATATCAACAAAAACATGGCGTCCACGCAGGAAGAGGGGAAATTTGTGATTCTTTACGCCAAGTTTGTGTTTTGTTCTGTCGTTTTGTTCTTTATTGTATTCGGAACGGTAGATATGTGGCGACGTAACTATGCGTATGATAACCTGATACCGTTAGTTACAACCATCGAAAGTTTCGGCGCCGTTGCTTTCATCCTTTATGTTTTACGGTTTCTTGTTTTGTGATCAATAATTTTGGTACATATCAATGGTTACATAAGATACGTCTAGCCTATATCGTTTACATAAGTAATGGATGCCAACAATGAAAATTCACACATTTTAAACTGATTTGAGTCTTCCAATGAATAACAATACACTTTACTGTATATTATGGAACATATAACATACTGCTGTCAGTTTTTTACCACGTTCCAGCTTCAGACTTAGACACATCTTGAAATACAATTAAGTTACTGATTGAGTTTGTTATAATTCCGTTGTACAAAATAATGTCTTCCACACGTATTTCAAATGTACGTGTTAACATTTTCTTTCAAACATTTAACTCAAATGTTTGTGATAACATTTTCTCTTCTACTTTCTCTACTTATAAGTCAAATACCTGTGTTAACCTTTTTCTCGCGTGTAACTCAAATACCTGTGTTAACTTTTTCTCTTCAACGTGTAATTCAAACATTTGTTTAACCTTTTTCTCACGTGTAGCTCAAATACCTATGTTAACCTTTTCTCTTACACTTGTAACTCAAGCATTTGTTTAGCCTTTTTACTAACGCGTTACTCAAATACCTGTGTTAATCTTTTCTCTTCTACTTGTAACTCAAACATTTGTTTAGCCTTTGTTCTCACCTTTTCTCTACAGCTTGTAGCTCAGAAATATTTGTTAACTTTTTCTTTCTCATGCATAGCATAAACCTTTATGCTTTTATTTCTTAGTATAAGTAATACAGAAGCTTGTGTGTATTTTCCCTCGTGATTTTAATTCATGTTTTTGTTTCTTATTTTTTTCCACTGAAGTATACAAAGGGTTGAGTACGTTATATCCAAACGATTTTTAATATGCAAATAAGCAATTCACGTGACAACCATAGCCGATGTAAAGTCGCAGTTAATTTCATGTATGAAAACTACAACTTGACATTGTTTGGCGTTTCGAAGACAGAGTGATGCTACCTGCAAGTGCTCGATCTTGGGAATGGTACGTATCAGCCGTTTTCGACGCAAAATATTCATACTTTCAGATCAGGTATTTAGAATTGCAAAACAAAGGAATATGGATCAACTTTGCGAAACAAGACTATCCAGAAAGAGACCTGTAACAAGTCTTACCCCAACCGTGGTAAGCAAGGCGCCGTGTCTTTTAACAGGTGAGAATCCACGAGCACAAAGGGCAATAGTAAAAGCCGTTCATGTATTACACACACCAGTACTTAACGTAATCAAAAAGGATTGTCATCTGGAAAAGCGACACCAACCGAGTGTACCCAAACTATGACACGTCCATTCAACTGTAGCGTACCTCAAGCAACTGGTGAATTAAATAGGTATTCGTGCTATACCATATAAATACATAATGGTCAAGTCGCCTATGGACTTCTGTGCGATCAAACTGTTGAAACAAGCGCAGGGAAACCGTCATCCTCCTGCACTAGATAGATTATGGAAGGCAGCACGGACTAGAAGTGTGCTTTAAACATGACAACTCAACTACGGAGCCTTTTTTAAATGGTAACCACGCTGCTGGGCTATTGTCAAGATGCACTATCATCATATAGAGCTTGACCAGACGTAATGACATGGAGAAGCTTCAAAATCGTTTAAGCTTTGGTTTGGCTTGAATTTTGTGCAAAGATACCCGAGAGTTACCTGCGCTAGCCGTCCCTAATTTAACGGTGATAGACGAGAGGGAAGGCAGCTAGTCAACACAACCCACAGCCAACTTTTGAGCTACTTATTTACCAACGAATAGTGCGATTCACCATTACATTATACCTCCCCTACGGCTAAAAGGACCAACATGTTCGGTGACAGGGATTCGAAACCGCGACGAGCAGATTGCGAATAGAGCGCCGAAACCACCACGCCGTGCCAGGCCTAAATAGTTTTAATATAACGTACTCAACCTCTGTAATCTGTTTTGTTAGGTTAACGTGTAAGTCAAATGAGCGAAATAACCCGTAAGATGACTGCCTTGGTTCATTGAACTACTTTTAACCGATGTTTTAAAATAGATTTTTATGTTTTCATTCAAAACAATATACCCCGGATAACTTACAATTTTCAACATTGTATGTTAACGTAAACGAAAAAAAAAATGTTGAAGTAAATTAAATATTATTGGATGAATCTTTTCATGCTCTTTATTTTTGGTTGACCTATTAACTTTAAATAGACCACCATACAAGTAACACGTTTTACCTTACAACGCTACAGAGTGCATCAGAAGTCAAGATCCACTGAGTAATTACTGAACCAATAAGTAATATACTGTATTCTTTGTGTTCCACATATAATCTGATATGGCCTTCACTAAGACATTCAGTAGTGAACACTTATAATTATATTGTGCACTTTAATACTGACATAATAATTAAACTTTTTGTTAAGGTCTGACGCACAGCGTAATTAGTTATATACTGATTCGTGATAGAAACGGATGTAAACGGAGATACCAATTTCGTGTAGGTAAAAAGTTAACGTAGTGTGTGCTCCCAGTTGACACCCATCATTAACTTGTGATCAAAGCTAGCTACCTATATAAACCAGAAATAGATAAATAATCTTATAATCAACATAGCTAATTTGATATATCGGTATAACTTTCTTGCTGTATACACGTTCTTCATGCATGTATTTGAGAGTATGTAGCTTTAGTAATGAGCAAATGTTTGTGAACATGTTAAATACTACACAACATTATTTTGAAATTTCACTCGAATAAACTGGCAAAGATTCTGTTGTATTTTCTGAAATAGGACAACGATATCAACCTAATGAGACTTAAAATAATATATATATATATATAAATCAATTTCATTTTCAATGTAATCGTAGCAGTTCTTAATAAGATCTAACATTTCGTTTTTTTGCTGTCTTCAGGAAGTCTGCTCTCAGATCTGGGCTACGCTGTACGATTACCCGTGTCTGAAGAACTGTGAGGGTCTCATCGAGTACGTCCGGGACTGTATCCGGCTAGCATGGGGCTTGAGTACCCAGGCACCACCTTTCGTCATTGACTACGAAAGCAGAGTATTCAGGAGGGACATGCACGTGAGATTTCATTCATCTAATCAAGAATCAAACCAGGTGAAAACCTACCTTTGGCCCTCCCTCTTAGAAGGCATCAATGGACCCTGTGTCCATAAAGGGGTAGTTGTCACGTGATCAGGCATATTGTATAAATACTTTGTTGGGTGTACTGACGTCCAACTTAAGAAAGAGATAATACCCGAGTGATGCTTCGATAATATCAGAGCTTCATTCTAGCGTAGATACAGAGGCATATAATTTGTATAAATACTTTGTTGGGTGTACTGACGTCCAACTTAAGAAAGAGATAATACCCGAGTGATGCTTCGATAATATCAGAGCTTCATTCTAGCGTAGATACAGAGGCATATAATTTGAGAATAGTAAACTTGATGACTTTATAGTCTGACCTAAGCTAAATAAACGATGGATAGTTGTCGGAATCATAAGTCACAAAACTATTGTTACTCATCAAAACAAACATTTGACGCTGTGTGTTTCTCTTGGAACTGAACATTCAGCTACGACATTTTTTTTCCTTTTTAAAACTATTTTTCAACACAAAGCCAGAAACAGATGTTTACGCATAGTCAGGGATTTTCTGGAAAAGTCGCATAAGTAAAGAATATAGCTTGTTTCCCGACCTGATTCATCAACTGTGTATCTTTATCTATTTACAGAATGTAACATAATCCACGTGATCATATAGTGTAGAAATGAAACAGTTTCCATGAAAACACATAAAAAATATTTAAACCTGAGCTGTCACCGAATAAAATACTATATTTCGTGAAACTAAAGACCAATTAATGGCATTGATTTATAATAAAATATTACCAATACGTTTAAAAAGAATCTTGTCTTTTATAGAGAGATAGCTAGATAGTGGATCAAAATAAAACATTGGATGATTCATTACCTTATATAGTATGCGAAGTATTCAAATACATCATAAATACAAATACAGACATTATGATTCCTGTTTGTTACAAGGTTGTGCTTGTTGACGACACTATTACAATGGAAACAGCTAATTTCACACTTTGTTTTTCCAACACTATCTTCTAGGAGTTTTAAATATCCACGGAAACTGTTCATTTCAAACTTTAATTATTCAACATTATATTTTGGAAATTTTAAATGTCTAAGGAAACTGTAAATTTCGCACTCTATTTGTCCAACACTGTATTTGAGAAGTTTTAAATATTTACGAAAATTGTTCATTTCACACTTTGTTTGTCCAACACTGGTAAACATTTAAAACTTCTAAGATAGCAAACTGTTCATTTCACACTTTGTTTGTCCAACACTGTATTTTAGAAGTTTATGATATTTATGGTAATTGTTCATTATGAACTTTAATTGCCTATCTCTTAGAGTTTTGATATATTTACAGCAACTGTTCATTATACAATATTTGTTTCACACAATATACAAAATTTTATACTTTTAGGGAAGCTATTAATTTCCCACTTTTTCTCAAATGTTTACAGATATATATAGGAACAAGTCGTATTTCCTGTTTCTTATTTATGAAATCTATATAATCACATAATAATATATTTGCATGTCATATATATTGTTAAATATTTCATTTTCGCTAGAAGTACGTTTTATTCTTCTTTTGTTTTTCACACTAAAACATAATTCTACTAATTTTGATATTTAGTGACGTCACTAACGATAGATGCATAAAATAAGTGCCCTCTCTCTTAAGAGTTTAAGAAATGACACACATTTATAAATAGACCAAATAACAGTATCGTTTCGTCCTCATATACCTGGTATTCCGAATTTATACATTTCAACTACTAACATTTGTTTTGGTTGTAGATTTGAAGATAAAATCTAACAATTTAATGTTTCGCATCATATTATTTTGTTATATGAATGTATATACTTATTTCGTAGATTGAATATTGGCTGGATCCCAACGTTGTGCTATTAAAATGTAACAAATGTCTGTTAACATGGATCATTGTGTCTCTCCTGGTTTGGAGAAAGAATGAAAGTGGGTAGATCGACTGTATCGTATTTAGGTATATTTATTATGTTTATATACATACTATGTAAGTGGTATTCTCCATTATAAGAAAATATGTTTACTTGGCGTTACAATGGATGAAGTGTTATATATATTTATATACACATATTTAAAAAAAAAATGGTTTATATAGGTGTAACACAATAGCAAGGCTGATTTGTGTTTTTTAGCTCGTGAGTTGTTCGAAATAAAGCCTAAAGAGTGCAGCACTGTATGTAATCTGCATCCCACCGATTTACTGTAATGTATTAGTTCTGTATATAACAAACGTAGCATATATTTTTTAAATGAAATTTTTCTATGCATACAATGTTAAAGTACTGAATACAAACGAGTTAGTTTTATGTTTGTAATGGCGAGCAAAAGGTATCAGGTGAATGTTTTACCAAGTTTGGGGTATTGTTTATATCTTTGAATAATATGTTTTACTTTTAACTTTTTACTGCTCTGGTAGTTAAGTTTTAAGGGTAATGTATACCTATGCGTTTCACAAATAAACTTTGTTCTAACACTGATTTGTAACGTTTGTTTTCTATTTTTTGCTTCAAATTCCACGTGATATATAAGAGGACGTGACTACTCTATTTGTTTTGCCGGATACGTTTTTAGCAAAAGGAATTGAATGGACATTTTGAAAGACTAGAAATGACCAATAGGGGTTAATGTGTTAATTTAAAAACATTTGAAACGGTTTTTTCTGAAATAAAACCCATTATACTTTAATCTCAAGCACTGTAGTGCCGATATCAAAACACGCCATCTGACGTTTTCTTTTTTCAACTAGCACATAAGCTGATCAGAGTATTAAGTTCAATTTTGATAGAAACTTTTTCCCCACGAAAAAAAATACATGTTAATACATAAACTCACAATAATGTCTCTGCTAAGAATGACAGGATGGTTACTAAACAAATGAACAACTTGTTCACGGGTTATTGGAACAAACTCCTCATCACTATATAAAGTAAAATGCATTTACACTGAATGAAATCTTGTACCTGTTCAATGAATAGGTAAGATATAGAGGCTCATGGAAGGGGGCATAAGAATATATGTCAGGTTTATTGACAATTGGTGTAGTAGTTTGCCAGTTGTAACCGGAAAAAATTCACGAAAGGTACATCCCAGGTTTAGTGACAATCGGTACATCGGTTCGCCATTTATGAGTGGACACACACACACACAAACATTTGCCAAATAGTTGTTTAAGTTTAGACGTGATGTCTACATGTGGTAGTTGCGTTTGTAAGCTATTTCTTGTACTACGTATAAGTTTATGATTTTAAATTTCTTGTGTAACTTTATTATTAGATATTTGAAAAGTATAAAAAGAAACGTAATCAAAATTCAAGATTAGGATGGTGTATTTATGATTATCACATAGTCTTATCACTGTAACTTTTCCTTTTAATTATGCACATAATTATACACATTTTACGTTATAGCTTCTAAAATAAGAAACGAGGTTCAACTTTAAAGTATAGCGTTCATCCATTCGTGAATTAGCTATATTTCAGCTTAAAATACCTTAAGTGTAAGTGCACCAAGAATTTTTGAGGAGGTCTTTTGAGAAAAGTAACTCTAGAATAATAAGCTCCTCATGAAACGGTGTTAAACTTCCCGAGCCTTTGATCACATAAAATACCGTAATTGACGTTAAAACCCATAAGTCTTAAACAAGATAATACGAAGTTAAATAGGTATGATTAGGGAGAATTCTTTATCGTCTCATATTTCTCGCGGGTTGCCATATCAAAATCTAACTTTACTTAGTCCAAAGAGGCTCTGTACATCTGGCACAATGTATAGCTATAGTATTAACCGTTCAATAAATCTTTTTAAAGTAATTTTTCGTTGGTGTTCTGTTTCACCGACTGTCTCACGCTCAGTTTGCATAGACTAAGTGGATGTCCACCAGAAAATCCCCACAACAAAGCAGTCTAAACGAAAAGTCTTGGATTCTTATTGTTAACGTACCTATATACCTGGTTCAAATTTAACATTTGCTTTTTCTTTATTTTAGCAAGTAAAAATTGAATAAAGAAGCAATTATACCAAAAATCATCAAAATATTTACTCATCTCATTCAGATTTTCAAGTTGGTCGAAAGTTCAACCATTTCATCGTAGCAATGAGGCCAATAATTTTTTCCTTTGTAGTCTTTCACGTATAATTTTTCAAACTTTTTATCTAATGATATAGGTAACAACAACTGTGTTACAAAATAATTTATTTTTTTTATTATTAAAACGTTTTTTTGTTTGTAGTTAAGCACAAAGATACACAATGGGCTTCTGTGCTGTGCCCACCTCGGTTAATCGAAAACCGGTTTCTAGCGTTATAACTTCGCAGACTTACCGACGTACCACTGGAAGGCTACTAAAACATATTGTTCCTTTTTAATTGGTTTAAAGCAACAGCAGATGTAGCCAATGAATTCAATACAACAGTTACGTTATTATTCTCCTTTTTTTTATTTGAACGAAATATTGAATCAATTGATAAACAAGTAATTTATTTTGGCACTGAGGAATGCATATTTCTGAAGCGTGGTTAATGTTGGGTATAATTATTAAATTACTTTTTTAAACCCCAAATGGTTATTTTAAACTAGGTATAAATAGTTTGTTTGTTTTTTACCTAAAGCTACGAGATTCTCTGATTAAGATAATAAGTTCACGGGAGGTATATTAGACATAACATCTCGACTAAAGCAACTGAATTTACACACACAAACAGGTCTTACTGTCGTAGTTCTTTAAATTCTCGCAAAGCTACTCGAGGGCTATCTGCTTTAGCCGTTTCTAATTTCGAAGTGATAGACTATAGAGAAGATAGCTAGTCAACATAACCAACCGCCAAATTTTGGGTTACTCTTTACCAACGAGAAGTGGGATTTACCGCTACATTATAACGACCCCGTGGATGAAATGGTGAGCATGTTCGTTGAGGGATTCGAACCTGCAACCTTACTGTAAAATGGCGCTAAAGTAATTGAACTTGAAGGTTTGGTTACATAATTAGGATTATTGACTCTGGGTCTCACACGAAGAAACTGAATCTTATTTAGTGTGGCTTCATTAAACAGAAA